CTAGCAAGACCTGACGTTGTCAGCCTGAAAGTTTTACACACATACTAGGTGTGCAGCTGTATTTTAATCATCTTTAAAATTTGTTTTTTCCTCCTTTTCTAGACTGCCAGTGAAGTCGAACAGTTTTCCATAGATTTTGTGGCCATTCAGTTTTTCTTTCTCTCTTGTGAAGTCCGCATCCTGGCGTTCTGTCCACTTTTCCTTGGGCCTGACCAGTTGGGCACGTGCGTGTGTTTATATTATGGACGAGAACCCTTTGTCCATGAGGCGTTGCAACTTCCTTCTCCCAGTTTGAGTTGCCTTTTTACCCTTTGAAATCTATAGTTCTCATTTTAATGAGATTACTTTGTGTGTGTGTATACCTTAATACGCAAAATCTTTCCTCAGTGTCATATAACTGCTCTTATGTCATCTTTTAAAAGTTTTAGTTCTACTTTTCCCACTGAAGTCTGAGATCCATTTGGAATTGATTTGGCCTGCTGCACACCCGTGTGAGGGCGTGGTCCGGACTCCTTAGTTCCATGAAGATGCTGCTGGCACCATGTGTGGGAAGTCCCCGTGTTTCACCCTGACCTGTGTGCGAGGCTGCTCTCAGGAATGACGTTTCCATACTTGCACATGTTTGTCTCTGCAGTCTCTGTTTGCACTCTGGCTATTTTGTTGATCTCGGTGCCAACATTACACTTTTAATGTAGTTTTACACTGACTTCTTGCTGTCTGCTAAGGCTACTGCCCCCTCCTTTGCAGTGTTTTGGTTATTGTTGGCTGTTTGCTCTCCTGGGTTATACAAATGCTGTTTTCCAGTATTCCTTCTCAGAGCTAATTGAATTTATAATTAGGTAAGAAAGACAGAAACAAGACTTAGATACTCTGATGTTGACTCGTGTTTACTTGATTTTTACTTGATCATAACGTTCACAAAATTTAGATTTGAGAATTTATGCTCATAAAGTGTTTTCTTCTTTATTGTGCAATATCTACAAACCATATTAATACAGATATGTCCAACCCATTTGGTTGGTTGTGCTGTTTTTATCACAAATTTAATTAACATTGAACTTGGACCACTTCCCCGAGCAGTAATACAGATAATGCCTGGCCCATGAAGCCACATGAGACTATAATTAGATCTCATGAAATAATGGACTCAAATTATTTTAAGTGCTTGTAATTTTTAGTATATGCAGCTCATGCATAAATATCAACTTGGAAACTCAACTCGGGTATGTGTGTGCTGGTAACTGTTTACTAAGGGAACAGAGAATTTTAATGTATACATTCAGCCTGGGAAACTTTGTATTGTTTATTAAATAAAGTAGAGAAAGCAAGAGAGGAATCAGCACATGGGAAATAAGGTCACCAGATAAGGCTTTTTTTTTTACTGTTTCCTGTTCTGTGGCTCTGCAATCCACTCTGAGAATTTCATTCCTCTAAACCAGACTGACAATTTCCCATTTCCTGTCACTCTATTACCTCCCCCATTCCTTTTTTGTTTGTTTTTGTTCTCCTTGGTTCTTGAGTTGCCAAACCAAAGCAGTTCAAACAGATAAGCCCACAGTTAATTTGTCGAAGGGCACGGAGCTTTTGGTAAACAGCTTCTTCCTGGATATTACTGCGTAGAGAGGACTGGAACTTTATCAGCAGAGTGTACCAAATCTGCTAGGTCTGCACCCAGATAGCCTATAGCGAGTCAAGGCATCCTTGCTTGTCTTCACAACTACATAGCTACAAAAAGCAGGAATGACTACAATAGCTATAGAAACATGTTATTCATGTTATTTGTTGGGGGGCAGGGGAGGAAAGCAGGATATTTTTTTTAATTGGTATTGACATTTTTAGAATAAAGCAGGGCATAGATGGCAGATGTGCTGGGTAAAGCTTTTAGGAGACACATTCAGGATCAGTGATGATACTGTGTCACAGACAGATGGATTCCAGAGAGCCCTGTTCTCTTATTTTGTCAGTTTTCAGAGTGGTGAGAATGTTACCATGTTTTAAGTGATTGGTGGTAGAACCAGCAGCAGCCCTTTTCAGACTTATACACATGGTCCAGTAGGGAAGGAATAGGACAGGGCTGCACTCCAGAGGATCAAAAAAACTTGAGTTAAAAAGAAAAACCTAATGTTTTACTGGGAAACTACCATATTCAATGTATCAATAGGCACATTGTTGGATGCTTTAAACATTTTATATAACTCTGTAGGGTATTTCTCCAGATAAATGAAGTCAGGAACCCAGATTGGTCTGATCTCACTTCATCACTAACTACTAACTAATCAAAAGCACTTTAATAACATGTTTAACAACAAAAAAGGACAAATATAATCTGCCACATTATTGATTTTTGGCCTGTGTAACAGCAGGTCAACAACAGCAAGTGGCTTCCTTTCAACAAAGTTCATGTCTCTAGGGTAATAGACATGTTAAGTAGATAGTGGGAATCCTTTCATAATATGTACATATATCAAATCACCAAGGTGTACTTAAAACATCTTATAATTTTGTCAGTTATACCTCAGTAAAACTGCGGGGGAAGTTTGTGTCTCTAGGTCTCTGACTTTTGTCAAGTTCAAGGTTGTGCAAAAAATAATTTGCAGTAAGTTAAGATTACTGATTAACTACATCGGGGGCTTCCAGGTGTCTAAACTGCTGATTTAAGAGAAGTGGAGTCCATGGAAGCTTGGTTTTCCACAGGCACTGAGTCACAGAGCGGAAATCTGAACTGTGTCTCCGGAGGCCCCAGCCAGCGTGCTTTCCACACGCTGATGCTGTCTCTGTAGAAAGGCCACCACCAACAGGGTTCCGTCAGGACTCATGGTTTTGTTTCCTAAATTTACTTTTCCATTACAGTTGACATACAGCATCAGTTTCAGGTGCACAGCGTAGTGATTAGACGTGAGATACCTTACAAAGTGACCACCCTAAGTCTAGTACCCATCTGATACTGTAGTTACTACATGATTGCCTATATTCCCTACACTGGACTTTACATCCCTGTGACTACTTTTCTAGGTGGCAATTTGTACTTCTCAATCCCTTTACCTTTTTTCACCCATCCCCTCAACACCCCTCCCATCTGGAGACCATCGATTTGTTCTCTGTGTCTATGAGTTTATCTGTTTTGTCTTTTTAGATTCCACATAAGCAAAATCATACGGTATTTCTCTTTTTTCACTTAGCGTAACTTTTTAGCTCTATCCATGCTGTTGCAGACAGCCAGATGTCATTCTTTTTATGGCCAAGTAATAATCCATTGTTACGTACATACATCTTTATCCATTTATCTACTGGCAGACACCAAGGTCACTCCACACCTTGGCTATTGTAAATAATACTGCAATGAACAGAGGGGTGCATCTATCTTTTCCAATTTGTATTTTGGATTTCTTCAGATAAATACCCAGACTGGAACTGTTTGGTCACGTGGTATTTCTATTTTTAACTTGAGGAATGAAGGGTTTGTTTTTAACCAGACTGGATAGGGAGAAAGAAATCTGGCTTCTACTTCCAGGTCTGCTTTGGCACTAAGGAACTATAGCTATGTGACCTTAAATAGGTCACTTGGCCTCTCTGAGCCTCATCTATAAAATGAGGTTGGATTGTATGATTTTTAGAAGAGCTAATGTATGTGAAAGCCCTTGGCAGAACTTGCAATGCATAGTTGCTGTGCAGAAAAGACGTTCATTTCCTCTGTATCAAACTGGGCGAAGGCTATAAAAATTCTAAGTTGTAATGACTCCTTGATTTCCAAAGTAACCATCATTATATTCAATAAACAAATATGTATTAAGTGATCCTAGGTAGAAACTATGAGGCTCAGACCCAATTCTCAAGGAACCAATAATTTATTAGGGACAATAGGCACAGTCAATCATAATATGGACAATTGCCCTTATGTTCCCAAAAGGACCAAACTCAGTGGCAGTTCAGAGGAGTAAGAGAAAATTTCTGGCTACAAAGAAACTTCAAAGTATTAATGGAAGAAAGAACACTTGAGCTCTAAAATGCTAGAAAGATGACATTTGGAGAGCTAGAGACTGGAAGAGGTTTGTGGATGGACATCCAGGTTTGGGACAGAAGATGGGGATGGGTGGATGCAGTTTGTCTGGAAAATGTGATCTGTCCAGTTTGACTGGAATGCAGGGCTGTTGGCAGACAAGGATGAAAATGTGAAATGGTCAACAGACCATAGAAGACCTCTGCGCACTTGACTGAGGACTGGCATTTATGCGGTAGGCAAGCAGGAGTCATGGTGCTGAAATATAGGCAGTGCTGTGCTGCGGCCAAATAAGAATTAATCTCAAAACTGTGGGGAGGTCAGTGGGCCAAACCAGAGGGAGACAAACCAGCAGAGGCTGTTCTCACTTGCGGGGAGGCTGTGGGATGTCCTAGTCTAAATGTAGTTTAAGGTTCTTAGCAAGCCATTTTTACAAGTTGGTGATCTGTACTTAAGATGAGGAGACAGACTATATTACTTAAAACTTTTATTTTTAATGGAAAAAGAGTTAAGTTTTGGAGTGAGGCCTGGCCCCCGAGTACAAAGAAAAGCCATGGAGAACGTGGTCAGAGCTCTGCTTTGTGAGGCTGCTGCATCGTAACAGGCACAGGGCACAGACCTGACCTTCGGTGCCGGTGGGAAGACACAAGGCTGTGTGAGGGGAAATCCAGGAGACCTGGCCGGGTTAGAGGCACCAGGTGAAGGAGAAGGTTCAGGACTAACGATCCGAGTCTGAAGATGAAATGGTAGCATAACAGGGAGTAAATTAATAAATGTGTGTAGTGGTTTTTTAAACCAGGAGTCATTTTGCTGTTTTAAACAAATTCTGCCTTTAAATAATGTGTTTATCTGTCATATTTTTGTTTGTAATTACATATCCAACATTTAAATATTATACAGTTCATTTTTTTAGTAGGAAAAATTAGAAATTCTCAATTTAAGGAAGAATCTGTTGGATTGGCCAAAGAGTCCACTTAGTTTTTTCCTTAAAATAAAAGACACATTTTTCATTTTCACCAGTAACTTTATTGATTTTGATATTTTTTAGTATATCGGCTACCTCCTGTGTGGTAGAATTCTGATTGTTCTCAATTAATGTCTTAATTTGAATCCCTAATCAACTTCAACTGGTCCACCCGACCGTGGGGCGTTGTCCAGCGAGAAATCTCCAGCACAAAACCTCACAAACCACTTTTAGAGACATTCTATCAGTCACGGCACCTTCCCCATATCCTGCACCAATCTTTTTTTTTGCACTTTACCTTTCTTGAAACAAAGCGTAATATGCTGAAAATGTTATTTTCCTCCACCTTTAATATTAATATGGCTAAATGAAAATTCACCGATTTTGACAATTTTTTAAAAAGGCAAGCTGTTACGACACCTGTCACAATACAGTAACAAAACTGTTTCAAATGAAGTTAAAGACTGACCAGTAAGCACTACTAGAATCTTCTCAGGGGAAAAAACAAACGAATCATTTGGCCAACCCAATATCTCAGAGATAATTAAGTATATCTATTAACATTTTAGAATAGTAGAAAATTGTTTCTCATAACACAAGATGTAGGCAAAGCACTTCCAGGAGGCAAAAGTTCATTTCTACAAAGTTAATGTTATGTAAACCATAAAAACAAGTAGTACATAAAGAAACATTAAATAAAAGATTCTGCTTTTATTTAAAATAAAATGCATTTATACAGTCTTTAAACCATGGATTATTGGACAATACTGGTACCCCGCCCCTCCCTGGCACCCTTACGGGCTGTGTGAGCTAGGAAGTCTTTGACTAGCACCAATGCGGATTGTAACAGCGCAGCAGACTAGGATACGGCCAGTCCAGGCAGTGGAGTTAAGGGCATTGTGGCAAATCACAACTATATTGAAGTCATTCTTAATTTAGCAGATATTAAAACTGCACATTAATTATACATTTAAAAGCATTTAATTAATGTAAAGATGCTACATATCTAAGCTGTTTGCTAGTTGTAATTTTTTTAAAAACTGTACAATTTTATAAAATTTGTGTTTGTACATTAGTTACACAAAATGCATACTTCATAGACCTTTACTTCATATTGTAATGCAAAAGTTGCATATTTTAGGCAGACAGTGAATATGCTGGTGAATACTAAGTGTTGTAATACATATAGTGTAAAAATAAAAATACAAGACCATATACATACATGCTTATTCAAGGACAAAAACAGACAAACCAAGCATAACAGATTAACAACATTTTCCTTCAAGGTTAAAACAATTACATTATTAAACATTGAGGCGTCTTTCGTAGGCCTTATTTTATTGGGGTGGGGAGATTCAAATGTCTATCAGAGTTAAGTAGGATGTATTTAAAAACACAACATCAAATTAAACATACATTAAAATGCATGCATTAAACATGATAAATAGACTTCATATAGTTTAAGCCCTGGATAGCTATAAAATAGATGGCTTGAGTTTCTTAGTTTGGCTAGCTTAAATCAGTGACGTTTTGTTCCTGATTTGCCCACTACTTCAGTTTTCGAATCTTGCCCTAAGGAATGTGTGCCGTCTTCAAGTTCATATACTGTATCATAATAGCAGAGTAATAGTCGTGCTTGTTAGTGCACATATTAACTGGTCTGGTAAGGCAAAAAAAGTTTTCATGATAAAATGACAAATTTCAAGCTTACTTTATTAAGCAGCATATAAGAAACAACAGCTTTTAAAGTTAAATATTGTTATGGCCGTGGAGTTTCATTACACAGTTCTTCTATTCACACCCAACCACTGGTAAGTTTATAGAACATCTCTTCATCTAGACTCTCGTTTTGGTCTTTTGCCCGTGTTGAGAGAAATATGTAGCCACCAATGAATTCATGAACCACTTTGCAGTCCACTTCAGTACAAATGAAGGACAGCCGCACTTCATCCGCAAACTCCACAGTGACCTGGAACAAAGACCGAGAACTGTTGGGTCCCAGGAAACCTCCACCAGATGGGCGGGTCCAAGCGAAGCTGCGGTGCTACTTACGTTCTGCCCAATCACAAAATACTTGATCTTCAAATATTCTTTTCTAATCCTAAACTTAATAAAGGCTCAAGTCCAAAAGAATAAGTCAAAATTACCAGCCCCTCCCCAACTCCTTTTTAGTTTTCTTGTTCTGAAAAGGAAGACGAGGGGTTTAGGTCATTAAGTTCCCAAATGGTCTCTGGTGATTCAATTAATGAGAATGTCCCTCCTCAAGTCCTGGGAGAAAACCTACTTCCTGTGTTTAATTTACTATTTGCTTTAGATATTTAACCTTTAGGTATCATGTCTAAATATTTCAGAAATATGAGAGTCTAATGAAGTAACAGGAATTGATACAACAAACCTAGTGATCTTAAAACACATGAGTAATTAGTAAAAGACTGTTTATTTTAAATGACATTCATGTACACTCCAAGGCTAGGGGCAGCATGATATGCAGCAGTATTAGGTTTTAGAGCCCTAAACATCTCAGTTTGAATCAATTCTGTTACTACGTGTGTGACCTCGGACAATGACAGCCCTTAGGCCTCTACACTTTAGTGTCCTCATTTGTAGGGTAGGGGTAATCCATCTACCTCACAGAGCTACGGTGAGGTTCGGAAGTAGGGTTCAAATGTAAAACACCTACTGCCATGCCTGGCACTAAGTAGGCATTTAATAAACAGGAGCTGTTACTGTGAGTGGAAGGGATTTATCTATTACTGAAAGACAACAATATTCTAAGTATATCAATATATTCTTAACATTTTTTTAAGTTAAATTTTGTTTATTGATTTTAGGGGGAGAGAGGGAGGGAGGAGGGAGGGAAGGAGGAGAGACAGACTGATTTGCTTTTCCACCCATCTATGCATTCACTGGTTGATTCTTGCATGTGCCCTGACCAGGCATCGAACCTGGCAACTTGGGCGCATGAGGACGATGCTCCAACAACCGAGCCACCCATCCAGGGCTGTTCTTAGAATTTTAATAATTCTAATACTTAGAATTTCGAAGTAGGAAATGAATAACCAAGTTTTATACTTTAAGAGATAATGGTACAAAACAATCTTCAGAATTTATAGCGATTTTTATTCTTAATTTACTAATTTTTAACAGTATTCAAGTAGTATTGTTATAGCTTACCATTTTTATTTCCCAATTTACATTCCACTGTTTCATGTTACTGAAACGCCATGTTTTGATTGCATCTCCTGTGCTGGCATCCATCCTAATCAGTCTGTTGTATGCAATTCCGATAAGTTCTTCTTTTTTGCCCCCTTGGAACCTGTAGCATTAAAAACACAGTAAATAAATGTTTAAAAACATCTTAGGGGTGGGGGGACCTGCTGGTCTGTTTTTTCTTTAAGAGATGTTCTCTTAGCTCTAAAAGAAAGTGCTAGCCTTACTTATACAAGTAAAAACAGAAATGCAATCATTTTGAATTTTTAATGTAAAAATTACATGTATAGAAAATACTTTCTAACAATCTTTAAATATTACTGTGAACTAGGTTAATGGGGTCTCAATTAGTAGCTTTAAATGTTTGATTTTTAATTACATGAAGTAGATGAAGTGGTAAGGTGCAGATTAAGGTTTACACACAGGTGCTGAATGGAACCACTGACCTTGCAATGAAGTGAGTGATGCCGAATTCCGGCAAGGACTGCCACGCTTGAATAAATCTCATCTTGGCCTCAATTAGGCTCATCTGAGCTACATTCTGATGGGCCTCCAAAATTCTTGCTGTTATCTAAATATGATGGAACATCAACATCATTTTTACCGAGACATTATTCTTTCATGGTAGACTCAAGACAAAAGATCGAAAAATTGAATTATATGTCCCACCCCCAAATCGTATGTTGCAAGAGTTGGAATTAGAAAGTTACATTTGGGAATTTTGGTAAAATGACCTCTCAAAATAAACCTTTACGTATTTCTTAATTTCAGTTTGCATATATCAAGAAACAAAAAGTACTACTGGGAGTACAGAGCTGCCATTCTTGACACATATTCCAGTATACACATCTACGATACTTCTATCATAGAACAGCATGTTCTAATCCTCATATACATGGTACGTTTTAAATTTAGCATCATGATATATGATCAAAATGACTACCTAGAAAACAAGTTTCTAGCAGAAATATCTATCACCATAATTTTAAATTTTTCTAAGGGAATCATTAGAAAAGTTAAATTTTAATTTAAATTATACTCACTTTGGGAAGGCTACTCCCACAAGGAGTGGAAGGAAATTAATCCATGAGAGGAGATTGTAGCTAGGGCTTTAAAATGTTTTATTTATCTCCTTTCTTTTTTGGTAAATATGGAGAACTTACCAAATCTCTTATATAGCCTGGCTGCAGATGGCAATGCGAGGAAAAGAAAAGGAAGCAGAAAGAAAAAAAAGGCAATCAGAAAAAAAACCGGCAATGAAGCAAAGAAAAAGTTGCGGTAACCTGCAAACCAAAATTCTAGCCAAAAACCATGCAAAAAATTACTTTAGGTGGAAACCAAGCAAAGTAAATGCAAGCATGAAAATGAAAATGAGGAAGCAGTGATTATTTCCATTTAGAATATTGAGAAAACACTCCATATTGTTTTAGATTGTTAAGTGTTACTAAAATTAAGGGTAGAAGGTTGAGGGAGGAAATAAAAAGAGCCAATACTCCCTTTCCCCTTCATGTACCAGTTCTTACTGATTAGGGTAGAGCTATTATTTTAGTAGTAAAGTCAAATTTAATATTTAAAAGCCTTCAATATTATCTCAGATTAAGTCAGATAGTATGATTCATGCACTGCTTTTCAGAAATAGGTTGAAGGCATAAAATAAGTGCAATGACCATACTGTTTCTTTTAATTACACAGGAAAAGCAAACCCCTCAATTACCATCTGTTTTTTGCATCCTTTTTCCTGGAAGGGAAAATAAAGAGATGCCATACACTACACTAGGACTGGTGGCTATAAACATATTAGTCCATTTCAATTTGGATTAACATAGATAAAACATGGAAAAACTCCTTTCTTTAAAATGTAAAATCCAGCTTGGGGGTCACATTCATGTGAAAATATCCATGGCAAGTTTAATTAATTTAACATGGAGCTTTGAGGAATTCAAGTACATTTAACATGACAAAGGCTACACTGATGGACCCAAAGGAAAACCACGTGCTCATGCCCCGGTGGGGATGAACGGCACCAGGCCTACACATCTCCCTGACTGACCCCTGGACATGCCACTGGGTGACACAGCGAACGGACAATCACTGCGCACTATGGCCAACCACCAGCACAGCACCTGACACACAACCGCAACTGCACTTTCCCCGATCAGCACTTACTAGGCGTGAGGGCAACACCTGGAGTCTACCTTCTGGGAACAGGTGTAAGTCTAATTAGGGAAAGGAGGATTAAAAAGGAATGTGCATTTGAGAAAAGGTCCCCGTGGAAGACAGGCCAGGAGGAGCCTTAGCCAGGGGCCACACACTGCTGCCATCCCACCGGTTCAGGACATTCAAACACTCACTGTCTCTGTCCTCAAGAGAATGTACAGTTGACAGTTTAGTTGAGAACTTTTTAAAGTGAAAACCACCATTTTGAAAGTTTCTGAAATATAACACCTTTCTCTGACAGCTAAACCAACACTTAGCCGTTTTCAGTTATACTTTAATATCTTTTTTCTATTACTTGATAGTGAAAATAAGATTGCTAAGATTTGAATTTATTCACTGCCTTTGAAGGCATATGAATCCTTTCTTTTTTTCAAATAATCTTTAAATGAAATTACTAAGAATAAAACTAAATAAATTAGTATTTGATTCAATTTGCTTTTTAACTTACAATCTACATTCCACAAAGCTCCCCAGGGCAGCATTTCCTTCATTCCTCACTACTCCCACATTGTGTGGCTGCGGGGGGAGTAATTTCCATGCAGCTTACACAGCCTCAGAAACTTAAACACAACTACTTGGTGACTGATGCTGAACACTTTAGACTTCTACTTAAGTGATGTCAGACTCGTATGATAAGCATTATATTTAAAGTTAAGGATTACTAAGTGCCCTCGGTATTTCACTGGGCCTTTTCAATGCTTTAAGATTATTCTTTAAAGATCAAAATGAAACTAGATAAAAATAAAATGTTTATTTTAAAGGTCTTCTCCCCACACCCCAAACTGAAGCATTTTCCTTTTATGGCGGGATGTTTGGGCAGACAACACTAGGGGTTATCCCAAGTGAAATTCCCCTGCGAAAACCTTCCATGTTGCACCGAAGATCCATTTTCCTACACAGCAATCCTTTATAGTATTAATTTCCAGGAAAGGATTCTAAACAGAGTGAACAAAGGTGGTGAATTTCAATGAGAATTCACCAAATTCTGTCACATTACGCAAATCTTGGTTAGGTTTTGACTGTTAATGTTAAGAAAAGATAACGTTAAAATGTAGGCTATTTCTACCATTGTAAAATTTATTTCCAAAGCTGGAAGACTCCATTTCAACAGCAAGAAGAGTCAATACAGATTTTTGAGGAAGTGAATAAAAAAACTGCGTGAATAAAGGAACACAAAGCATTAAGACCACATTTAATTCCCTGAATGAACATCCAGTTAACAGAATGGTTTTACTCAAGTTGTTTAGAATAAATATACTCCCAACTCTTCTACCTCATTGTATCCATCTATTAACACAATGAAGGTTGTTTTTTAAATGGCCAATTTAAACTGACTGAAGGCTATTTATTTCTGATTTTATATTCTGATCACCTGATATGAAATTAAGACTACCAATTAAGACTAAAAAGTTTTAAAGGGAGGAACCTAAATTTAAAATGTGTACAAAATTGTAAAACAAACCAGCAGAAAAGAGTAGATGAAATAAAATGAATCAAGTACCTGCTTGTTCTTGTACTTTTTTAGATAGCGTGGGGACACCAAACATTCGGGATTTATATCGGTTGTGATCTGCTCTGGTATTAACTGAGGATCTGGATTTAAATGCTGCATCTTCAGAAAGGAAAGAATATTCTGAACTTCTAGGTTATAAGAACTGTCCGCCATGGTCTTGCCCTTGGAGGCTAATCGGCAGGCTGCCATCCAGTGGGCATACTGTTTTTCCTGTTGAAAAGAAATACGGAGGTATGAATTCAATGGGTCCTTTGAGTATAAAATATAAGGATGACTGCCTAATTCCCTAAGGGATTAAAGAAAATTGAGGGTTACTTTTTTTTACAACCCCCCACCCCTCACATCTGAGGTTTACTTTTAACTGGAAAACTTACATTGTCACAACGAAGCCAGATTTCATTCATGCCCTCTGCAACTGGAATCAGGAGTTTAATGTTAAATTTTTGGCCTGAAATGTTTACATCTGGAGTGACTTCACATCCTGTAATAAAAAATCAATTATTAAAATGGTCAAATTTACTTTTAAGAAACCCCAAGCCAATAAAGAGATCCCTCATTTTCTTTACACCCAGTGATTCTGCTTGGTGTGGAGCAAAGAGTCAGAGATCTACTGGAGAGGAGAGGTGATTAATGGCACAGAGGTTGTGGCCCTTGCAATTCACAAAACTGGACTAAGTGAAGGAAGGGGTCCTGTTAAAAGGATATTACCAAAATCACAACTTGCACCACAAGTTTTGATAGGTACTGCTTTAATATTATCCAGATCTTCGAATATTAAGTTATTTGGGATTTTTAAGTTTCTTAATATATAAGGATTTAAAAATATCTTCCTATTAATCAAATTCTAACTTGTGTGTTTTAGTTAGAATAAATGACTTAATATGCCTTAAAAAAGTGTGTGAGGAGGATTAGCCAGTTTGTAAGAGTCCTATATGGGGGGCCTGTAAGAGGCAGCCAATTGATGTTTCTTTCCTTCTTTCTCTCTCACTTCCCTCCTCTCTAAAAATACATAAATAAAATCTTTAAAAAAAAGGCATGGTGGCTTTCCAGAAGAAAACAGATTTATCGAACACATACCCAGTTCCATAATGAGGCAATGGTTTATGCAGTAACCAGTATAATGGAGAAAAGCTTTACCATCAGACAGATTTGGGTTCCAGACCTTTCTCTACCGCTTAATAATTATGCCCAATTTATTTAATACTGCTAAACCGAAATTTCTGAACCTTAAACTCTGCCCCATAGGGATGTTATAAGGATAAGTAAGATAACGTACATGTCAAAGTTCGCTGAAGGGTATTCCAACTGTTTGTACTTAGTTTATGTCACCCTCAATGTGTCTTAAGATCATCCAGGAGGCTCTATAATGACAAATGTGAACTGCGAGCAGGGCTTGCCACTGCTTTGCTCTTTGCACTGGAGCAACTTCTCTTGGCACAGAGTACAAAGAACACAGTCATCAATCTCTGTATGTCTACCGCAAAAGAACAGATGTTAAAACTGTCCTTTTTTCCTTCGCATAGAAATGCCATTTTAGATAAAGGGGATACTCCACTCCTCTCCAGAAGCAACTCCTAACATTTGGTGGACTTTCTCCCCATCTTTATTTTTTAAAATATTTACTACATATAAATAGCTACAGGATTTAACTCCCTCTAAACAAGCATTAGAAACTCTGAGGAAGTTGTATGGCAATGGGTTAACATGCAAAGTTAAAACAAAGAGATGTTTGAAGATAGACATCTTCTGAAAAATTCCATTAATTAGGCCTTTTAAAAAGTAAAATGCCAAGAAAATTAAAAAGGGAGTGACAACGTGAGTGGTGACTCGGGTGCTAGTGTGGGCAAAGAGGCACTCACCGGGCCACGCCTCAGACAACACCCACTCCGCGCCACCTCAGTCCCACAGCTCGGTGGCGAGATGCTGGACTTCCTTGTAACCCAGTTACTGTTTCTCCGAACTGATCAATGCAAACAGCCCATTTGGATCACAATCTTCAGTCCTAACTCTCTTCATACTCTTTGAGGGACGCTATCTATCCTGTGACCCCTCAACTTTCTCCCCACCAGCAATGTGTTTTCAATTTCATTCCTTCTTCCCAGTCTGGCCTGGATGCCATTCACCAGGTAGCACCTTCAGTTCCCTAGACTTACTGTCTTTCCATTATACATACTTAGCAAAACCTTTACCCTGGTTCAATGCAACCCTCTATCTTTTATTTGCCTATACTCAGGCTGTTGAGCACTCCAAGAAGGGAGGGGGAAAAACACAAAACTGAGCAGAGACAGGTTCATTAAAAATTCAGGGATCCTAGCCTCAACCCAGCCCTTGACACCTGCAGCCCTGTGTTCACATTCTCAAAAATGTTTACCTCATTCTTCTCAGGCCTCTTCTACCACAAACTCTCAGGGGACAACCTCATCTATTTTTCCAGGTATGTGAAAAGCCACCAGGAATGAAGTATCCCATTTCCTACCACTGTACCAGATCAATCTTGCTGCCCTCGCTTCCACACAGCAGAGAGGCGTATCCCTGCTAAGGCACCCCTCTCTAAGTGCATCGAGTGTTCTACCATCCCTGGAACCTTGCTCCTCATCAGAGATCCTCTTCCTCTCCCGGGCAGGTTTCTTTCCACTGTGACCTTTCCATCAGCACTTAACTTCCTTGACTTGCTCCCGTCTTAAACCACAAAATGCCTCTCTTTATACCTGTCTTGTTACTGCCCTCTGCCCTCCTTGCTTGTCATAGACAAGGCCCATTAGAAAGCTGTCTTTGTTTCCTATTTACTTCTCAATGACTATTTTTGACTCTCACTCAAAATGCCCCTGAAATCTGCTGAATCTGTTCTGAATCAAGGCCACTGACCACCTCCATGTGGCTAAATCCTGTGGAGGCTTAACAATCTTTATTACTTTTCTGTAGCTTTTTTTTAAAACATGAAGAACTGGGTAACTTTTAAACAAGATTTATTTTTTTACAGAGAGGGAAAAGGAGGGAAAAGAGAAGGGGAGAAACACTGATGTGTGAGAGAAACATCAATCAGTTGCCTCTCACGTGCCCACAACTGGGGACCTGGCCCGCAGTCTAGGCATGTGCCCCAACCAGTATCAAACCAGGGACCTTTAGGTTCCCAGACCAGCACTCAATCCACTGAGCCACACCAGCCAAGGAACTTTTCTGTAGCATTTGATGCTGAGTTATTCTGTGCTTTTTGAAATAACTTTTTATCTTAGCTTCCATCATATATGATGTTTATATCTTCCTACATACTTTTTTTTGTTTCCTTTACAAGCTTTTCTTCCTCTAATATGCTCTGTCCCTTAAACATGAACCTTCTGCAGAGTTCTGTTCTTAGCTTTCTCACATAATAGACAATCACTCCAGTGGGTACATTTACCATTAATGCTTAGTGCTACTGTATCAGTATCTGTAACATGGTCTCTCCCATGATCAAATGGCCTACAGATGGTATGTCCAGGTAGATAGCCCACAAGTACCTCAAATTTAAAATATCCCAAAAGTAAATTCATCTTTCTCCCCAAACTCAGCTCTTATCTATTCCCAGTCTCAGCAACACACTATCCACCTAATTGTATAAGCCAGAAACAAGTCCTTTTTCTTCTAAACCCATCCAAATTAATCACTCAGTCTACTGACTGAACCTCCTCCGGTCTACTGAATTTATACCCTTTCTTCATCCATATTGATAACCTTAATCTGGATCCCTATCACTATCTGAAATTACTCCTCTAAACTGTAGCCAATAAAAATATGATGGATTCTGTCATTTTCATGTTAATAATTTTCTGGTGGCACTTTACTGCTCCCAGTTTAGAAAGTTATCTCAATATTTTTACCCACAAATTCTTGCCAACATCCTCTGCTATTCCTCTCATGTTAGCAGGAACCAGATTCAACAGCTATTAAGGAAGTATCCATCCTTCTGATTAAATTCTGCATTCCAGCAGCACAGAACCATTTGTGGTTGCTGATGCTTTTCTCCAGGCATTTTTTTGTACACCAGGTTCTCTGCCTGGAAGGCTCTTTTACCACCTCTCCTTTCTTTCCCATATCTCAGCTTTCTTTTGGATCCTGAGTCCGACAGCATTTCCCCTATGCAGACTCCCCTAATTTTCCCCACCATTACTGAAGACTAAATGATACAGCACCATTACTCCCTTGCTCCTTTGGCCCATTGCTGAATTTTTAAAGTATTACTATTGCCTAAACTGTAATTGTTTATCTTCCCAACATGCTCTTAACATCTTGAGGGCTGAGACTACTATTTGTTTTTGCTTATGTCTCTAGTACCTAGTAGTTTGTGGCACAGGAGTTCAATTACATTTACTAAACTGAATTTTTTTTAGAACTTTGCATTTCAATCTCTCAAGGGGCCTTACAGCCTCTAGTCCAACAGATTCATGTCTCAGAGGAAGACACTGAGGTCCAAATGGACTATTTTTCCAAAATCACAGGGCTTGTTTATGGCAGGGCAGAATCTTGGCCATTTGATTCTTAAGCTAGTGTTTACCTTCCTCAGTGTGATGTGCCAGAAAAGTGCTCCTTTGGGAGGACCACGGGAGAGGTGGAATGAGAACACCTTGTGGAGTTGTTCTCCGTACCAGGACCTGACTTCTCAGTCATTCAAGGCAGAAGGTTAAGGATATAATAGGGACAGAAAGGACAGACGCCAAAAGACCGATCTAGTCTGTCGGGAGTGGTGAATCTGAGCTGATCCTGGGCAATTTAGGAGGTAAGCAAGAAGAAAGCTAAATCAGACTCTGAGTAACAAATACTGGTAGATACCCAAAGTTACACTCTCGTGACTGAGAAAGACAGTGAGACTAATTAAAAGTTTTAGGAAAATCACAGAATTCCAACACTTGAAAACAGCTATCTTCTCCCCAGAACAGAGGTTTTCTCTTTTTCACAATGTGTATAACTATGAAGCAGTTCAGATGACTACTAGGCAGATAAAGCAGAGATCTGGAAATGTTCTGGAAATATACTAAAAACACCCTAATGTGCAATGTACTAAGAAAAAAAGATCAGGAAAAACACCTCTGCATTTTAAGTGATAGGTGAAATTATTTTGGGAATAATTTTCGTGAAATGAGTTAGGGGACCTTTTTCTTTGGTACGTTTGTCCAAACTCTTTTACAGATAATAAATGTACATGTAAAATGTAACCCAAAGGAGGTGGGCTGGGCTGACAGGAATTATTCCCTAAACACCACTTCACAACTGGCCTACTGGGGAGGTGCACCCTTCACAACAACTGAGTGGCTGGGAACCCAGGAGACGGCCACCACAGCTGTAGCTCCAGAACCTGGAAGAACTCCACTCCCTTCGACCCTTTAACTCAGTTGGGAATTCAAGTCTCCTGTGAATGCATCTGACTAGAATCTAGAAATGAGTCTGAAAAATGTATTTTTAGTTTACTAGCCTTTGCTGTAAGGGAAGCCACAGTGAAGCGAGTGTGGAGCAGTGAAGAGCCAAGCTACTGCCTCCTTTACGGAGCATGCAGGGTGCCAAGATTTACAGATGGGTCCCCAACTTACAATGGCTCAACTTAGAATTTTCTGACTTTACGATGGTGTGAAAGTGTCATGTGTCCAATAGAAACTGTACTTCAGATCTGAAATTTTTATCTTTTCCCAAGCTAGTGATATGCAGTACGCCTGTCACGATGTTGCGCAGTGCTGTAGCTCCTAGTCAGCCACATGATCACTGGGGCAAACCACCAGTACTCTACAGTGTACTGTGTTGTCAGTTTTGCGGAGCCAGGTGGAGAAGGGGACATTGTATTCAGAGCACATTGAAGGTAGGCTAAGCAAAGCTATGATGTTCAGTAGGTCAGGTTTATTAAATGCATTTATGACTTGTGATGGGTTTATCTGGAGTATGTCGCAGGGGTACGGCTTCCTAGAGGAAGTGGTATCTGAACTGGAAGTCCACCAGGTAGTTTCAGCGAATATCACAAATGGAGGCTCACCAAACTACAAACCACAGAGAAGTCACAATAGGAGGCAAGCAGGATGTCCCTCCAGCTGGAGAAGTAGCCGTTGAACCTGGAGAGGAAATTCTCCTACCACCTGAACCAGTCCGTTTATCAGATGAAAAAGGTGAAGGAGCAATGTGAAGAACCAAGTGCAGTAGTCTAAGGTAAGTCTAAGATAAGAACTAAACATGGAAACGAACCTAAAGAAGTGTAGAAACAGCTGAAAAACCTTCCCTCCCAGTAAAGTGAAGTTTATTGAATGTTAGCTGATAGATATTTTACCATCAACGCTGGTCATTCCATGGTTTCCCTTACTTACCTCTCAGGTTCATCTGATGAGCTGGTGTGCCACTGGATTCTTCTTTGCTTTTGTAGCAAGAAATAGATGTATCTTTAAAGGTGCACCAATACTGCTTATAACCTTTTAGAGTCAGCTTTTTTGGCCTATGTGTCAAATAGAATTAAGAGAAAAACCACTTTTGAAATAACTTTATCAATGTTTTTTGTTTTAGCACCCAAGTTTCACAATGTTAAAAGTCTTAGGCCAAGTTTCATTATCTGCTGAATTCAGTTCCCTTTGGCCAATGTATTATATTCAGTGGTACTAGTATTGAATTTGCCCCTTCTTTCCCAGTCTACTCTGGAAGATCTCACAAACAGTGAATGGGCAGAGGAGAAAGACAGCAGAGCAGGGCCAATATTCCAGTATTTCTGTCAGTTGCAGCCATCGATATTACAACCAGGTCACATGGAAAGGACAGGGAAAGAGAGGTGAAGTGAATGTCAGGAACTGGAAATTTCCTAGGTCCCATAATTACCCACAGATTCACAGATGTCTGTAGGGCTGTCTTTGGAGCCTCTCTGAACCACAACTTACCTGGCATGACTAAAGTGAGGTAAGTGCATCTCTCTCAGGGAGGTATTTCAATGGTGACTTTAACTGGCCACTCCAATGTCAGACATTACAAAGATAGAGCAGTCACAAGGGAGAGTAAATAAAGGTACAGGTAGATGAAAAAGGTGTATAAGTAGGAAAGAAAGGGGGTGGGGAGGCAGCAGCATCTGAAATAATGCCCTTATTTCAGAAATGTTATGTATATTGAGCTGTTTTATCTTTAGCTACAGTAAACAGGTTATTCCATAATGGCTTTGTGTATTACACTGCACATCACTTCCTTTCCTCTTTCCCCTGTCTGCCTTAATGCCTAGCTCTCGTGATTCTGTGAAATACGACTGGACTAATTATTAAAAGTCTACATAACATACTGGAACCTTGATTATAAAATGTTTCATGAACAAATGGATAGAATTCAAAGGAATCTGGGGCTCTGAATAAGGCGATAACCGCTGGCAGTTAGAGTTCATTACACACCACGCCTCCCCCAGGCAGGCTGCTCACACTGACTGTGATGCAACCTAGGCTATAGTCTTTTTTTCCCCTTCCTCAAGAAAAATGATTACTAGCTAAAACGAAGAGTATTGTGATTTTAATTTGGTATAAATGGTTATTTCCCCTCATTTTAATTTAGTGTTCATCTAATTGGTAAGTGCTTTTACAGATCATTTGCCAAATTTACAGTAAATTTCAATAATGTGAACAAAACTGTAAGACTGAAACTTATTAATTCATTAGTATTTGGAATCCCTACATTTTTTGTACTTACTTGAAAACTTTAATATAGTCAGCAAGTTCAGGAATTGAAGTGATGTCACCCTGGGGAAATAATTTAATCATTTTTTCTTATTTTCACGAAATGAGAACTCTAGTATCTGCTATCTGACATCAAGAACCAGCTTACTTACCTAAAATACAGATTATGAAGACTGTAAAGGTACAATCGTATTATGTGATCATATAGTAAAAAATGTCATAAAAAGCTAGTAACATTTGATCAAAATGGCAATTTATACAACCCACAAGAATACACTGTTAATACCAGCTAAAAACTGTTTGTATCTGCATATGGAAATTTTGTAAATCGTAACAACCCCAAGTTAAATGCATCTTCTATAATAACTAATTTCTAAGCTTCAGAATCATAAAACTAAGCATTTAAAAATTTTCCTAAGATCCATTTCTCTCTTCTTTTTGTAATACACCAAATTCGGAGACCACTTAATGGATTTTACCATGACTCAAGATTAACTTTTCCTCTCCAGGAACGCTCCACTACCAGTTGTAAGACAGTGTGCAGAGTATCAGAAGACCTATCTTTACTGTGTTGGAGGCACTAGAGACTAGAACGATATTAATTTTTAAAGTTTCTGAAAAACTGATGTCTGAATTCTCTAAAGCATTAGATATTTCTGTATATCCCCCAAATACTTCATGACAACCTAAATCGACAAAAAGGTAAGCATCAATTCAAAGTAAATTAGCAGACAAAAGGTTCACCCTACCAGAATTGTTGACGTTTTACCCCCTTCCAAAGTAATCTCCAGGTCTGAAAGGGCAGCATCAACTTCATCAACTTCTTTGTCACTGTTGTTCAAATGATTCTCTGACGTCATGATCGACAGCTTATTGATATGATACTGAAACCAGAAATGTTATTTAAATGACTGTTCTAACTCACAGCTATCAACAACTGAACCTAGAACAAAAACAACTAAGCTAACAATTAGAACAGGAACAGAATCACAGAAATGGAGATCATATGGAGGGTTATCAGCGGGGAGGGGGAGGGAGGAGAATGGAGGGAAAGGTACAGGGGATAAGAAGCATAAATGGTAGGTACAAAATAGACAGGGGAGGGTGGAGTTAAGAATAGTATAGGAAATGGAGAAACCAAAGAAGTCGTATGTACGACCGAGAGCATGAACTAGGGAGGGGGAATGATGGTGGCATGGGGTCGAACGGAATAAAGGGCAGGAAAAAAAAGGAGGACAACTGTAATATCATAATCATTAAGGTATTTTTTTAAAAATAAATGTTCTAATGAGATTATTATCTATGTCTATAGTAAATGGTTTTCATCACCTAATGTGAAAAGATAAAAGTGTCCAGGAACTAGAACGATAGGAAAATAAAGGTGATGGCACCAGAAATCAATGTCCTAAGTCTGCTAATAAACATGTGTCCAAACGAAGAAAGTATTTGGGCATATACAAATAAATTCCTAGTTTGGAAGGTCCTAGGCCTTAGTGATAAACACATCCTCCACTAAACTCTACACAGAGATATTTCGATGTTCCCCTATCCTCTACTGCACTATTTATTCCCTATGTCTAGAACAGGGCCTGGAACCAATAAATACTGAATGAAAAGAATATGTATAAGGTCATTTGTAGAAATGGATTAACACTGATTACTTTATAATTCTACTATTACCCAGAAAGTTAGTTGTCAATGTCATGTTGAAAGCTAAAGGTGCATTTCCGCCCCCATTCCTCAGTTCAATGCTGAAAACATGCCCTGAGGAGATGTTTAATGTTTATAGTGTTACATGAGAATGATAAGATGGTTATAGGTGACTACATATATACATGCATAAGCACTGATAACTACTTTATATAAACAGAAAAATCTCTGGATATAGATTAAGTAGTCACCATTTTAAATACACTTAGGTACGTGACTTAGAACAAATATTGTCAATTAGATTTTAATGCTAAACCACAGAGAGGCTTTATACAATGATAAACAGAACTTTTAAATCACGTACTCTTCAAAGCACTAAATAGCACTCCAAATTTCTGAACTATATGCACTGAATATAATCTATTCATGAGAACATTTAATGAACTAATCTGAGGCCAATTATCAGTGTTCCTCTGTATTTTAAGATTTAGTGAATTAGTAATGAAAAGTCTGTAGTTATGCCTTCAGTTGTGCTGAAAAGAGATCCTTACAGTGGTAGGAACTTCCACAAATCAATGGAGAATAAGGTAGGTTGAGGCTGTCACAGGCAGTGGCCTCAAATGTCAGAGTATATTAAGAATCATGTGGAGAGCTGGTTAAGAAATAGATTCTTAGGTTTACTCCCGGGGATTTTGATTCAGCAACTCTGGGGTCCACCCTGGAATCTGCATTTTTACTAACTTCCTTGGGTGATTCTGATGTAAAAGGTCCTAGAGTTAAATGCTTTAAAAACAGTGTTACTAACTTTTCTACTTTATTTTCTTATCCACAGCTTATTATGAATTACTTTTTTTTTAACTACTGTAGATTTATTTTACACAAGGAACCAGAAGCCCCAAGGAGAAGAGTCTAGAGTACAGGGCATCTGAAATAAAAAATAGTAGGCATCTATCTCTTCGTCATGCTTTCAAAGTCTCCTCCTTCTGATACCAGATGGCTACCTAGGGCCTTCAGATGAATTTCTGCAAAGGCTTCTAACAACTGAAGGGATTTGTAATATGAAATTCTTCATTAAATCTAGAATCTAAAGTGGTTCAGGAGCACTGTGCTTAGGGACATTTAGTCTCCCCAAATTAAAATCCATGGTTTCTGAGGTATTTTTTACTGCGCTGAAATGGATTATCTACTGTACACTGGGTGGGAGGAAGCTGCAGAATAATCCCATTTCTGTGACAATATGAGTGTACATTCACTCAACAAATACTTTTTGAACACCTGCTATGTGCTAAACACTGTCATGTTGGCTTTTTTTTAATGTGCAATAAAGATAAAGAGAAATAACCTACAATGAAAATCTGTGGGTTTCCCCATATATATTTTACATGTATCATTCTTTCATTGGCAAAACTCTCACTGAAAAATTACAAACCCATATTCTAAGAGCAAGGTACAGGTGGAAAGTCATAACCAAGTGAGGGACTTTCAATAAACTTGTTCCTCTGAAACAGCATGGTACTGACATAAAAAGATACACAGATCAATGGAACAGAATAGAGAGCTCAGAAGCAAACCCACACCTTCATAGTCAATTAATATTTAACAGAGGAAGCAAGCACATACAATGGGCTAAACAGTTTATTCAATAAATGGTGCTGGGAAAATTGGACAGATACATGCAGAAAAATGAAACTAGATCGCCTTCTTGCATTACAGCAAGAATAAATTCAATATTGATTAAAGACTTAAATGTCAGATCTGAAACCATAAAAATCATAGAAGAAAACATAGGCAGCAAAATCTCAGACATTTTTCATAGCAATATTTTATCAGATTTATTTCCCCAGGCAAGGGAAACAAAAGAAAAAAAATAAATAGGGCTACATCAAACTCTAAAAAGTTTTGCACAGCAAAAAAACAACAAACAAACAAACAAACAAACAAAAAACAAAAAAAAATAAGACAATTCACAGAACGGGAAAAACATTTGCAATACATCTGATAAGGCATTAATATCCAAAACTTATAAAGTACTTAGAAAAGAACACCAAAAAAAAAAAAAATTTAAAAATGGGCAAAGGACCTGAATAGACCCTTCTCCAAAGAGGACATACAGACAGCCAATAGACATATGAAAATATGCTCAATGATAATGAAACATTAGCTACCTACTTCTTAAGGATTATCTTTCTAAAAACCTATTGATATTCATGGTCAGTTCCACTAGCTTCTTAAAATTTTATCTTCATGATGGGTATTGTTTCTGCCATAGCCCATTTTACAAATATTATCAACCCCAACTGCTTATGAAATTATGCAAGTAAGCTTCATTTTAGAAGTCTTATTTTTAATATAAACTGTTTCCAAAGGAAAAGCAAATAGGTAATATACATCTGGGGGTAGGAGGATAATTTTTCTCCTGTAGGACACAGAAAAGTAACTATTAAGTATACTAACTAAATTCTTAGATGAGACAAAAGATTAAACACAAGTCATATATGTATTTTACCTTCCTAAGTATCTATTCACTTCCTGCACAGCAAAAAAGCAAACACTATTAAAATGCTACTGGATTACTATGCCACTTCACTATTTAAAAATAATCCCATATCCTCTTCCCCCCAAAAGTCCCATTTACCAGTACTCTTCACTACCTGCAAGGCTGCAAACATCATCATTTCTTCTTCTGTGCATTCAATTTCTTCTAGGAGAATAGCCCACTTGGCCTGCTCATAAAGCTGATTGATTCTGATTGCATCATACTGCAGCAAAAGAGACACAGTTCTTTTATAATACGTCACTTTTAATAATAAAAAGTTAGAAAACTTTGAATATTCACTTTAAAATTTTGTAAGAAAAATTTAATATGCATAATTTTTATGGGACTTTATTCATGATCAAATATGCAATAAGAAATATGCCTATGGGGTTGAATATATATCTACATCTAATTTCCATTAAAAATGACAATGACATATGCCAAAAGATTATTCTTCAATATCAGAAACAGATTCTGTATGTTGTTTTCTAGGGAAATAACCATAAGATATTATTAGTCCTTAACACAAGGAATCTAACGTGAAGACATTAAAGTAAGGCAGAACTGATTGCTCTTCTGTATTATCATTGCAACTTGCCACATTAAAATGTCATGATCAGAGAGTAAATTAATTATTTCAGGAACATCTTGCTCACTGTGTAAAAACATACCCAGACAAAGTGACAGGTCCTTAGACACAGGAATTATTTGAAGAATCCAAAATAGAGGGTGCATATAGAGTCTTACAGAAAAGATTTACTTATGCTATTGAATTCTATTCATTTATATTAAAAAAATCAATACTAATATATTAATAAAATCTTAGAATGTTAACAAAATACATAACTGTTTTTCCTGCCCTCAGCAAATATACTTACATTCCCAAAGCCTTTTTGGTTTTACTAAAATCAGGTATGTTATGGCCTGAAAAGGAACTACAATGATTTTTTTTATATTTTTTAAGAAATTTTATTTTAATAATTGTTCAAGTACAGTTTTCTGCCTTTTACTCCCATCCCAGCCCACCCCCCCAGCTCTACCCATCTCCCTCCCGTTTCCACAGCCCCCCTTGTTATTGTCCATGTGTCCTTTATACTTGCTCCTGCAAACCCTTCCCCTTGGAACTTCAATGATTTTAATGATTCTACTATATATTTTACTGTTGTATAATGAATTATTTAAGTACTTACTAAAAATGCTAACTATATACATTAAAACCTAGACTATAACCTAGACATGAAAAAGATGAGATGGTAGTTGAGACTTCTCCCCCTACTGATGATAGGGAAGCAAAAGACCCAAATCTGTGTGCCATATCTTTTCTGGAATAAAACATTCCATATTTTTATAATAAACTTAAATATTATCCAGAAAACAAAGTACTTCAGTAGCAATCATTTGATAGTAAAAACATATTACAATGTTTGGCTATAAGACAGGAAGACCTGTAGACTTTAAAATTTTTTTTAAAGCAGTGTGTTTTGGTATATAAGTAGAAATCAAAGTAATTGAAAAGGTAATCTTTCAGAAACTTTTCTTTTACCTGAAGTACAGATGAAGAGAGGTATGAAAAAAATCCAAAAACTAACTTTACCAATTCCATGTCTCTTACCAAATTAGTGCCTTTGATATGCAAATCAAAAAGTTTAGTTATGCTCACAACTTACTAAAACAATCTACTTACTTAAAATACAGATGCCTTTGTCTATTGCTTTGGGTTTTTATGATTCAAGACTTGCTATTTACAATTTCTTACCCCACCAACTTCCAAAAACCAAACATCCAAATGAACAAAACAAAAAGGAAACAAAAGAAGAGATTCCTCTAAACCCTTGGTACCTTTGGATTCAAATCAAAAAAGCTGTAATACTTGAATCGGAGTAGCAAGGCCTCATTTTCCTTCACATCTTGTTCCATGAGAGATCTTGAGGAATCAAGCCACCTGGACAAGGTAACAAGAGCAGTGGAATAAAGCAAGACAGATTTGGTAAACTATTTCTACTTCTAATTGGATAAGAAATTCTTCAATTGTATCTATATTTTGAAACTTACCCTTGGTTGATTTTTGCTTTGTCAAGAAGAGCCTGAGGCTTGAACATTTTTGCCAAGATTTCTGGTGATGTGATTGGCTGACTGACAGCAAGTATACCAGGGTTGCCTTCTGACAATGCACTGTCACCGAACCATGCAGAAGTCGGTGACAAGGGGCTTCCATCATGAGCGTCGTATGTGGGGGTCATTGTTTTACTATAAAGTCCCGGGCTTGAATATATACTTCCTAATAAACAACATGAAAAATAGGCAGTAAATATGAAGTAGGGAATCTTAGTTTTCAATAACACATGCTATTAATGATATAAAAATACATTGTGAAACTCAAATGTCATTCTGGAAGAAAGCTCAGTTCATTACTTTACCTATCGTGAAAACATGTGAAATTAACTTTTAATACTCCATTTGTATAACATTAGATCGTACAATAACAAGGCAAGTTGGTGGAAATTCTGGGGATAAAATCAGTGCAATAGAATTAGAAGATAAGGATATAGCTAAAGCAGACCAACACATTCTGTTTTCAGTTGTGGCAAGGCTCACCTTTCAGAGGGCCAATGTAAAGAACATCAGTGCCTATAGGAAAGGAAAGAAAGGAATTCAGAAGGTAAAGGAAAGGCAACAATAGAAGACAGAAACAAAAGAATGAAAATGAAAAGGAAACAGGAAAAGGAAAAAACAGATTTTTCCTAAGTGTGAGTCACAAACTGAAGTTCGTATTTCAAGTGGATTTAAGAGTTTACCTTAGAAGCTATAATCTAAGTAAAATAACTTTTCTGTCCAATTCAAAAGAATGAAGCTGTGCTCTAGTCAGGTGTCTAGTAACAAACATGGCCATGTTTATCGCCCTTTGAAAATCATACCATGTTTTAAGACAGCTCAATGTAAGTGGATAAGTTCACATAAACTAAGAAAATAACTATGTTAATGTTTTCTCAATGAGTAACTAAACTGGTTCCAACAGATTTACAAATAAAATATTAAAAATAAACAAAGTTTTGCCCGGGAAAGAGGCTAACAAAAGTACATTTTACAACAAAAACCTTGAAGTGATACTTTTTTTTAAGCTTCTGATACCTCCGTTTTAAAGAGCTAGGTGTGTAGTAAAAGCTACATAAGTAAAGATCTGTTGAATTAGTCAACTTATGATACATCCTCTATCATTTAAACTGCAAAAATTAAGATTGGATTAAGACTTTTTAAAAAAAAGTTCAGAGTGACAATAAGTAAGAGCACCTCTCCTTCAAAATCACATTTCTGTTAATTTATCTTGACTTTAATCATAATTTTTAGAAAGAAAGAGTGTGAATGGGTATCATACTGTTTAATGGATGATGGAAAGAGAATGGCAGCTCCTTCCTTTACCTGGTTTAGGAATGTACTTAGAAATCTCTCCTCTTTCCTAACTTTCTGCCCACACAATGATAGAAACAATTTCCTATTAAAAAGTGGTGGTAATGCTAGAGATTTTTGCAGTTATCATGACCTCATCTAAGAAGAGAACACAATTTTTAAAAAAACCTCTTGCTAGCTAAAGGCTATCTGATTTGATGTCCCTAATATGTGTTCTAAAGCAACTTGTAGAATCTGAACATTGTTAAACTTCAATAAGCAACAAAGTAAGCTGAGAACTCTCCTTTTTAGGCCTTTAGAGAACACTGTGATATTCTTTTGTAGCTTTAAAAGCTAGAACTTGAAACTACAAGGGCACTTGAATAAAGTTAAAATTGATAATTTTCTTTACGAAGTTTCTAAAACACAAAATACATTCCCCTAAATCACACACTTAGAACCAGCCTCTAACTCAAATCTCTTTCCTATCAATTTTCAGTACTTTGTACACTTCATATTCGATCACTTCATTGTTACTATTTATTCTTATATTGTTAGGCACGCTATGGTAATAACTCATTCATAGTTCCCAATGACCTTATTATCCTCATTTTAGAGGAAGAAAGTGAGGCACAAAGACATTCAACAATTTGTCCAACGTCAACACTTAGGTTGCAGAGCCAAGCTATCAATCAGCCAGTCTGATCGCAGTTATACACACTGCCACTCCCAATGGCGTGCACTGACTTGTTTAGTTACTGACGTCACCACTGTTGTTGCAAAAGAAGTTTCTGAGAAACACTTCTGTGCTTATTTCCCATTTCTAACAGCATCACTAGTTCAGAGGGTCTGTGCATTTTAAACTCCTTTTAAACCTCAGTTCAGTAAGAATCCCAACTAGCTTGTATTCCTGATTGCCCAACTTAAAACATTTGAAGGAGAAAACTAATACAAGGTTAGATGAAGAAATATAATTAGCAACATAATAGGAGTTTGCTGAATTCTATAGAAAATAACTTAAAACTATGAAACTATGAGGAGAAATAAGGAGTTCAGAGAGAACTACATTCTCAGGCCATCTGTTACAGATATTTAAAACTTATACATAACCCATTAGCTCCAGAGGGTACTGCTATGTTAACATAGAAGAATCTTCCTCACAACTTAGCATGTTTATATTCTGATATATGTTTTAAATAAAGTACTAAAGTATTTTAATACATTTCAGAAAAATTTTCATAAAAATACCTATTTCATACCAAGTTACAGGTGAATTAAACATTATAAATGTTGACATTACAGATAAGTTAAAACATTACTAATATAAAATAATTATGACAGTATTAAGATATACTTTTTTATATTTGTAAAGATTTTAAGTATTTTTTATTATGTTATTACAGTTTTCCCATTTTTTTCCTTTATCCCCCTCCCCCTTGCCTCTCCAACCCTCCAGCATTCCCCTACCCCTTAGTTCATGTCCATGGGTCACACATATTAGTTCTTTGAGTCCTCTGTTTCCTATACCATTTTTTCTCTCTCCCTATTTTATGCCTACTAATTATGCTTTTTCTCTGTACCTTTCCCCCCATTCCTCCCTTCCTCTCCTCACCAAAATCCCACCATGTGATGTCCATTTCTCTGACTCTGTTCCTGTTCTAGTTGTTTGCTTTGCTTTTGTTGTTTTTTTTTCTTTTCTTTTAGGTTCATTTGTTGATAGTTGTATTTGATAGTTGATTAGATGTCATTTTACTATTCATATTTTTATCTTCTTTTTCTTAGATAAGTCCCTTTAACATTTCATGTAATAAGGGCTTGGTGAGGATGAACTCCTTTAACTTGACTTATCTGGGAAGAACTTTATCTCCCCTTCCATTCTAAATGAAAGCTTTGCTGGATAGAGTAATCTTAGATGTAGGTCCTTGCTTCATGACCTGGAATACTTCTTTCCAGCCCCTTCTTGCCTGTAAGGTTTCTTTTGAGAAATCAGCTAATAGCCTTATGGGCACTCTCCCTTCGTCTTGCTGCTTTTAGGATTCTCTTTACTTTTAATCTTGGGTAACTTAATGATGATGTGCCTTGATGTGTTCCTCTTTGGGTTCAACTTCTTTGGGACTTTCTGGGCTTCCTAAAAGTCTATTTCACCAGATTGAGTAATTCATTATTTGTTCAAGTAAGTTTTTAATTTCTTGCTGCTGTTCTCCTTCTGGCACCCCTATAATTTGGATATTGGAGCGTTTCAGGTTGCCCCAGAGATTCCTCAGCCTATCTTCATTTTTTGAATTCTTGTTTCTTCATTCTGTTCCAGCTGGATGTTTGTTTATTCTTTTTGTTTTGAATCATTGAGTCCTGGTTTCCTTCCTGTCATTGTTAGTTCCCTGAATATTGTGCTTTATTTCATTTTGGGTATCTTTCATTTGTCAACCAACCTCAATCAGTTCTGTGAGCATTTTGATGAGCAGAGCTTTAAATTCTCCATCGATAGGTTGGCTATCTCCTCACCACTCAGTTCTCTTTCTGAGGTTTTGCTCTGTTCTTTCATTTGGGCCATATTTCTTTGTCTTGGCACCCCTGATAAGTTGTAATGGGGCGGGGTCTTAAGTATTCACAGGCAGACCAACACTCTTTGCTGCGCTGTGTGCTGCCTATGGGGGAGGAGCCAGAGAGGGAACAATGCAGCTTGCCTCTAGTGCACTTTTCAACGGACTCTTGTTTGAGACTTGGAGTTTCTCCCACCGTAGTCCATATCCAACTCTAAGTCTCAGTTTCCCCTTAAATCAGCCACACCCATGTGGTCCGCTGCCTTACTGGTCTGGTTATTCTGGTTGATTTTTACTTTAATTCCTTGGTTGTCGGAGTTCCATGCAGTCTAATTTTCTGGTGCTTCTGGTTGTTTATTGATTTTAAATTGGTTGCTATCTTCCTTTTGGTTGTGTGAGGAAGTGAAGGGCTTCTACATACGCCTCCATCTTGGCCAGAACTGCCTATATTTGTAAAGATTTTCTTAAGCAAGAGTGAAAACCCAGTATTATAAAGTAAACAGTATATCTGACTACATAAAAATGTACAACTTTAGTGTAATAAAAAAAAAACACAAATGAAATTAAAAACAAAATCCCAGTATAGGGAAAATATCTAACATAGCAAATGATTAATGACACTAAAAACCAAAAACATAAATTAAAAAATGAACAAAATCATTTCCACAATTTGAAAATTAACAGAACAGGAATGGTTAATAAACATGTGACATATTATTCACACCTGTGCTTATCAAGGAACTAGAAAGTAAAGTAATTCCAAAATACTTATTGTCATATCAGCATAAAGAGTTACATCATTATTAATGGCAGAATGTAGGAAAAAAGGGCATTTTCATATATTGTTGATGAGAGAGTAAAAGCATCATTTTTACCCTCTTTTGGAGTACATACAAACTTTGGAAACATTATGGAGTATATTTGACAGAAAAATTAGGTACCCCCTAGGCAGAGAAACAGTTTTTCTACATGGAAAACTCTGAAGCTATACATTTATTTTTCCTATTTGATTGTTTTTATGACTTTTGAGAAGTGAGCATGAAAATAAAATATTTATTTTCAGCTCTTTGCAGCCATTTAAAAACCAGGGAAATCTCTCTACTCTGACACAGAAGGATCACTAAAATACATTGTTCAGTGAAAAAACACAAATTGCAGAATATAAAATACATATTAGGCTCTCACTGATGTAAAAAATAAAACTAGACATGTATGTATACGAAATCTGTCCAGAAAAAAGCCTAACTGTTGTTAATATAACAAGAATGGTGTGCACAACAGATGTAACCTGGCAGCCAAGGAGAGTGGACTGGAATGCACGTGCGTGAGCAATGACTTCATTGTACTAGTCCCTGGGGGACACGACTGAGTGAGCATGTGCACTGCGTGGTCATCACATTCAAAATGACCAAGAGAGTAGAGCAATGAATCTGCATCAAATTTTGCATTAAGCTTGAATATTCCTCTGTGGAAACTATTGGGATGACTCAGAAGGCCACAGCTATGGGCAACTGGTGATTGACAGCTTCATCATGACAACACAGCCACTCGGGCATCACATCAGGTAGTTTTTTGGCGAAACATGAAATCATCCAAGAGACTCAGCCCCCTTTACAGCCCAGAGTTAGAGCCCTGCAACTTCTGTCTTTTCCCAAAACTAAGATCCCTTTTCTAAGGGAAGAGATTTCAGACCTTCGAGGAGATCAGGGAAATATAATGGGGTAGCTGATGACAACCAGAAGACCTGTGTGAGGTCCCAAGGTGCCTACTTGAAAAGGGACTGAGGCATCACTGTCCTATCTACAATGTTTCTGGTATTTTGTATCTTCTTCAATAAATGTCTCTATTTTTCACATTGCATTGCTGTATACCTTCTGGACAAACCTCATACACAAACAAGGAAAAGGTACTGACTGGAAAGTTGCACTTGCAACGGTTTACAACATAGTTATACACATCAATCAAGAAACTGAGAGGGAGTAGCAAGAAAGTTGATGAAGTAGAATTTTCACGTTCATTTAGTAAATTTTCTGTCCTAGATGAATTCTTTACAGTGAGACTGTATTAAAGTGTGACTTTTGAAATTAAAAAGATATAAAGTCATTAATTAGTATGCATCACTGCGTGGAAAACACAAATTATAACTGTGTTTAACACAAGTCTCACTTTTATACACTCACTTTCATTGTGAACAAAAATGAATATATAATTTTATAATATCTGAATTTTTACTATGTGCTTGTGTTACTTTTATAAAGATCTTTTTTTTAATGTTTTGATGCTTAAAACAGCAAGTTCTAGTTAAAAAACGGCATCCTGTGTAAGTGATTTTCCTGAAGGTGCCAAGCAAGTGAGTATTGATTACTTCCTGTATGTATTATTTTAGGACCCAGGGCTTTCCTGCATTCAAGATTTTTAAGAAAGTTTCTAATGAAATAATTTTGTATTTCTAACTACATAACACATCCAAAAATTAGTAATTTGTAAATCAGAACTGTATTGTAAAACTAATTTTTTTTAAAAAAAACTTGTCTTCCACAGACTTGGGACCAGACTAGTTCAGTTGGTTCCTTCCAATAGATAATTGGAAATTAGATATTTACCTGGTTACAGTCAGGAAGTGACAAAACACTGAAGAATGTGCCGCCTGACCAATGCCATGTAAGCAAGGTCTTTAAAGACTCACAGAATTTTACCATAATTCTATGAAAGAGCTTGGCTAAAGTCTGAGAATCATTCATTCACTAATAATCTTTTATCTCTTAAAACATTACTTTTTAAAGTTAGCCCTACTGGGTTATAATTTACACATTAATATTTTATCAAATGATCCTATTAGAATTCACAAAGTATTTACTTTAAATATAATTGGATAGATGAATGTCACATAACAGACGTGAGTGTTTGAGCTAGACAGACATGGATTTGAATTCTAGCTCTGCCCCTTATTAACTTTGAGATCTTGGACAAATTACTTAATCCTTGTGAGGTATTCTTTCCTTATAAGTAAAACAGGTATGATACCACTAAAACCGCAGGGATTTTGTGAGGCTCAAATGAAAAATAATGTGTGTATTAAATAATAGTTATTATTTATTGAATACATTTTTATTGACTATGCATACAGAGATATTCACAATTCAAGAAGCATGTAGGAACTAAGGAAAACTTATCTCCTCGGTAAAATGAAGATTGTGTCTAATCCTCACCACGCCTATAACAGAGGAACATTTGTGAAGCACTGCACAGTGTCTAATGTCCTAAAGATGTCACATATTGAGATGACACTGTTGTTACTTGTTACTGACATAATAGGCACTGATCATAGTTTTCAGTACTTGGTCCAATAACTGATTAAAGTCCTAAGAGATCATAAAAGCAGACAAACTAGATAGTTCATCTTTCTTTTAAAAATTAATTGCACCTTTTTATGTGTGTATGGCACTCAGTGGACTCTTCTCTACAGATTATCAATCTTCTACATATCACTATCTTTGTGCACTTTCTTAATGTTTCATATCAACTTGTTGGAATTCCTCAAATGTTTTTAAGTAAATTGTTTGTAGATAACTAAAACACCGATTTTTAAATTCCTTCACTCAAAATAGTCACTTCGCATAAACAAGACAGCACATAGTCTATGATTCATTCATGAGGTTCAACAGGAAATGCTAACCTGTGGTCACAGAGGCCAAAGTAGTTATTCTGTGGGATAATGACTGGGAAAAGGCATGTGGGAGGCCTGCTTCGATGGTATTATGCTATATGCTACATTGTGTCCTGGGTGATTACAGGTGTATATACCTGTAATCACTTACTTGTAATTTAAAATTTGTTCACTTTAGTGAATGTAACAACTCAATAAAAAACAAATCTCCTGGCTGGCATAGCTTAGTGGATTGAGCGTGGGCTGTGAAACAAAGCATCGCAGGTTCGATTCCCAGTCAGGGCACATGCCCGGGTTGCAGGCCACAGCCCCCAACAACCACACATTGATGTCTCTCTCTCTCTCTCCCCCTCCCTTCCCTCTCTAAAAATAAATAAATTTAAAAAAAAAAAAATCTATACTTAGTCCAAAGATGTAATGGCTTTCCCTCATCTAAATTTGTCACATTTTGTTTTCAAGTTATTTTTCCTTAAAGCTGTACATAATTTTCCTTTGTAATTCCAAGACCAATACTGCATGATTTCCACCACCCCAGAATCACCCCATAAATATAGGGTGGGGCTAAAGTAGGTTTACAATGGTGAGTATATTAAACAGTTTATTCTTGTATTATTACTCTCCATATGAATAGTTGTATACTTTTCCATATAGTTCTATGTTACAAGAATTAAATGAGTTAAACTATAAACTACAAGATAACTGAAAGCAGAGATTGTATCTACATCAAATGCTTTTAATATGAATCACGTCTAAATCAAATTTTAAAATTAACCTTATTCTAATGATGAACATATTCTTTTATTCTCCTTTAACTCTTCAATCTGTAGGCTTTTTGTCTAGGAAGCACTTTATATGCTTTTCTATTTTAGATGATAGCTTTGCTGGATAGAGTAATCTAGGTTGTAGGTCCTTGCTTTTCATCACGTTGAATACTTTTTGCCAATCCCTTCTTGCCTGCGAAGTTTCTTTTAAGAAATCAGCTGATAGTCTTATTCTTGCTGCTTTTAAGATCAAGGTAGAGCTAAAGGAGTCCATCATCACCAAGACATTATTACATGAAATGTTAAAGGGATTTATTTAAGAAAAAGATTATCAAAACTATCAAAACTATGAATATTAAGAGGGTAACAGATTCACAACTTATATTAACCACTGAAATCCAAAAGAAAAAAGGAAAAGGAAAAAAACAAACTAAGCAAACAACCAGAACAGGAACAGAATCATAGATATGGAGATCATCTGGAGGGTTATCAGCTGGGATGGGGGAGAGGGAGAATGGGGAAAAGGTGCAGGGATTAAGAAGCATTAATTGGTAGATACAAAATAGGGGGATGTCAATAATAGTATACGAAATGGAGAAGCCAAAGATCTTAAATGTGTGACCCATGGACATGAACTAAGGGGGGCGACTGCTGGAGGGAAAGGGAAGATCAGGTGGAGGGGGGCAGAGTGGGGAAAACTGGAACAAGTGTAATAGCAAAATGAATAAAATGCATTTAAAAAAAATATTTAGTCTTCTACACTACCTAGAATCTTTTCTTATTATTCCCTTCAATATATTTACTGACTGGAAGTAGTATTATTCTTTCTAAAATAATAATTTGGCCCTGGCTGGTGTGGCTCAGTGAATTGAGTGCCAGCCTTCAAACCAAAGGGTTGCTGGTTCAATTTGCTGTCTGGGCACATGCCTGGGTTTTGGGCCAGGTCCCCAGTTTGGTGGGGGTGGGGGTGGGGGATCGGGGCATGAGAAGCAACCACACATTGACGTTTCTTTCCCTAAAAATCAATAAATAAAACCTTTAAAATAATGACTTGTTCATTTTGTAAATGTAGCCAGAAACCAATGACTCTACAATGCCCTACTCTAAATTTCTGTCTGGCATTAATGACCTGCCAATGTGAGCCTGAAGTTCCTTGGAGGTCTTGCCTCCATGAACTGGCTCAGCTGGTTTGTTCACATTTATACTTTTCTTCAGCCAGCATGTTCTTTGTCAACATCATTCTTTCTGCTTGGATTGACTTTTCTTTCCATCAGAATCCTAGCCACTGGAATTTAAGAGCCAATTCACAAACTTCCTCCCCCAACTCATAAACTAAGTATACCCTATTTGGAATTGTTTTGTCTTCTGAATCCTTACCTCCTTAAATGTAGTAACTGTGTTTTTCAACTAGCCTTTAAACTACTTAAGAGTAAGGATTATCCTATTTCTTGTTATCTCCCAAATGCAATTAGTACATGGGTAGTGACATAAAAAGAACAAGACATGTAACCTTAGATATTCCTAACCTTACAAAGACATAATTTCTTCACTCTTTTTAACAGAATAACACAATCCACTCCAAAGGATTGTAGTGAGAATTAAATTAATTTCCCCAGGTGAAGTGTGTGAAATATTTCCAGACAAACAGCACAATATGAAGTGTTTGCTTTCATTATCACCATCACCACCACCACCACCACCACCACCATCGTCGTCGTCGTCGTCGTTGTCGTCGTCCAAAGTTTTAAATCCAGGAATAAGCTGAATTAGAAGACCCAACTCGGGTTGGAGAGGTAATGGAAGGAAATTTGAAAAAGCTCCTTAAAGGAGTAAACAATTAAAGGTAAAAGGTTGTGGGCAAAGGAACTGACATATGCAAAGAGAAGGTTTTAAGTAACCTGACAAGAGTATAATGTCTTAATGAAATAGTGGTGTTTTTCACAGAATACAGAAAAAGGAACCTAAATACTAAAAAGTTGTCCAGTATCAGAAAAGCAAAGAACCGAGTCCAGTTAAGATACTGTCCCTTCCTGAGCAGGCAGAACCAGCCTTCCTGTTTACTGATGCAACTACTAACACCTGACGTGATGATTTTTACCCGACACACTGTGCTGTTAATTTCAAGCTTGAGGGAAAAGATGCTGAAGGTGAGTTTTTTATTTTTAACTTGACCCTTCTGACCTTTATAATCCATTTATTCACTATCAAAAAGACACAGGAATACTGTCCATGGTTCTCACACTGAACCTTTGCTTAGTCAGAGAGACTCACCTGACCCAGGAGTAATAAGAGGCCCCTCTAATTCAAGTGCCTCATCTTCAGACTGGTCATCCAGCTTTTTCTTTTTTTTCTTTGTTGGATCTCTGGGCTTTTTCAAGAGAGAAAGTTCTTCAGGATGTCTTATATCTGTTAAGATAAGAAAACATTTTACTAGAATAACAGAAAATATAAATACTTTACACACAGTAAATCCATCTATTGATTTCAAAATAAGAATTTATAATTTACTTCAGTGTATGTGCATTTGCTTTGCCACATATTAATGCCATGCAAAAGACTGAAATATGACATTTTAAAAAATCGAATGTACCCTTAATTCATATCTAATAAATACAGTGACCTCAAAGTGTTAAGATAATGATCTATGGTATAAAAAGAAATATCAGAATTCTTATACATTTTAATCTAAAAACCATAAGAAATTAAGCTTTACTTATTCAAACTTTTCTGCCTTGTCTCAAATGGCTACAAGTTTCTGTGTTTATTTTCATGTGAAGAATCTGATTACAGGCAAAATAGTTAAATGAAAGTAACAAAAGAATTAAAGACAATTCAAATAGGTACATATTACATTACATACTATATATTGGGTTGGACAAAAAGTATATTTAGTTTTTTTCTGTGAAATAAAAGACACATTTTTCATTTTCACCAATAACTTTATGGATTTTGATATTTTAAGTATGTCAGCTCTCTCCCGCATGGTATAATGTAGACTGTCCTCACTTAATGTCTCGATATGATTGCTGTCAACTTCAACTTGTATATGCAACCATGGAGCATTGTCCAGCAACAACTCTCCAGTGCCAAACTTTGCAAAACACTTTTGACATGTTTGATCAATCACAGCACCTTCTCCATACACTGTACAAGTCATTTTGCATTTCCCTTGTGTTTTTCCCTTTCTTGAAATAATAAAGCATGACAGAAATGTTGCTTATTTTCTTCCATCTTCAATATTAAAATGGCTACATAAAAATTCACCAATTTTAGTAAGTTTTTTAAAAATTGCATGCTGATATGACAGCTGTCACAATACACTCTAACAAGATTGTTCTGAATGAAATTAAAGACAACTAAGTACTACTATAGCCATCTTATGGAAAACACTAAATGAATTTTTGGGCCAACCCAATATATTACCATTTCCATGAATTCCCAAGAATTGTTAACAAGTCAATTCTTCCCAAAATGAGCTAAAGACTCAATGGAATCCTATTCAAAATTCCAACTTGCTTTTTTGTTCAAGTTGACTGTAAAATTTATATGGAAATGAGAACAATCTTAGACTACTCAAGGCAATTTTTAAAAAGAATAATAAAGTTGGAGGACTTATACTACCTGATTTCAAGACATCATAAAGCTACAGCAATCAAGACGGTGCAATTATTGGCTGAATTATAAGACATACAGATCAAGACAACAGCAGAGAAGGCCCATATATAGGTGGTCAATTTCTCTGAACAAAGGTACCATGGCGATTAAAAAGGGAAATCTCAACAGTGCTAAACAAGGGTCATACTTAAAAAAACAAACGAAAAAAAACAATAGTCTTCACCTAACAATATGCAAAAATTAATTCTAAATGTATCACAGACCTAAAAGAAAATAAAAGTAGACAAAGATATCTTATATAAGACACACACCCCACATCAAAACCTGCCCTTTATTTTTTTTAAAAAGCCAAACAAAAAACCTACTCTTTGAAAGATACTGTTGAGATAACAAAAAGTCAAGCCATATACTAGGATAAAATTTTCACAAAACATATACATACATATTATCTGACAAAGGACTTATATCCAAAATAAAAAGAACACATACAGACCAATGTGGTAAAAATTTGGACAAGCACTTTGCCAAAGAATACACAGAATGGTTAAGCAACACATGCAGAGATGCCCAACATTATTGGTCAGGAAAATACAAATTAAAAACATGAAATAGCATTATACATGCACCAGAGTAGCCAACATTATTGTAAGATGGTTAGCCTGTATTGGTGAGGATGCAGAGGTGGAACTAGAACTCTCACACCCAGCTGGTGAGAATGTGAAATGAGACTTTTTGGGGGGGGGGCGGGGGTTGGCAATTTATTCATTGTTGATACTATTACAGATATCCCCCATTACCTCCCACTTTGCCTACCTCCACCAGCCCCTGCTCCACCCCCAGCAATTTATTATAAATGTAAATATATACAACTCAAACACTCACTCCTAGTTATTTACTCTAGAACATGGAAAACACATTTGTAATATGGACTTCATGGACTTCATGTGTAAAAGCCCAAACTGGAATAAGCCGAATAGATAAAGTATTTCCATGGCAGTGGAATACTCACACAATGGAACACAACTCATCAGTAAAAAGCAGCAAACTACCGATACATACAATAACATATGTATACCTAAACCAAACCACTGCACCAAGTACAAGAAGCCAGTTAGAAAAGGGTATAAGGGTATATACTATATGATTCCATTCATAAAATTAAAAGAAATGACGACAAATCTATAGTGACAGAGCAGATCGATGGTTGTCTGGCTAAAGTTTGAGGGCTGATGGAAATGCTCTGTATCCTGATTATGGTAGTTTCACAGATGTAAACATCTATCAAAATTCATCACTGTAAATTTTAAATAGGTTCAATTTATTTTTTCCCAAAATTATTATACAATAAAGTTAATTATTAAAAAATGTAAAGAGAGGAAGAGCCAAGGGGAGAAAAAGAAGAAGGGAGAAGCCCTGGGTCTAAACATCATAACGTTTGACAGCACCACACTGTATGTCAGAATATGAATCGAGTGGACAACAAAATACAAATCACTGCATAACTAAGGCTAGAGACTGCTAGGTCACTAGATCCAAGTTTTATACCTGGCAGTTTGTACCTTCTGAAGCCCACAGTATCCACTAGATTGAATCCAGTATTATAAATTCAGAAAGCTTTTTGTTTGTAGGGTACCTGAAATTAGGATAGACCATATTGCTACGGGGCTCAAAGGTAGAAGCACATAGCCAAACCACCTGGATTTAAATGTCAACTCCACTACTTAGTAGCTGTGTGACTTTGGGCAAGCTACTCAACCTGTCAATGTCTGAGTTTCCTCATCTGCACAGTGAGAATAGTGCACCTCAGGAGCCTGCTGTGGAAATTAAATGATTCACATGGGAAAAGTTCCTTGAACAGGGCAGGCACGTAACAAGTACTTTAAGTATTAGGTGTTAATGCTTTGCTTTAACTTTAAAAAATACAAAATACACAATAATTTTGAAATTACAAAAAGTATAAATAATCAAGACCTTTAAAACCCGTTCTTAAAAAATGGAATATGACTATGTAAACAAGTGATCTTGTTAATAGATGTATAAAATTCTACGGTGTAGATATATCATAATTTAACCATTCTTCTAATACTGTGCCACTTACAAATAATAGTTATACAAACACCTATGTACACATTTTCCCACATTTTATTTCTTTAGGAATTTACTGAAGTAGAATTACCAGATCAAAGGTTATAATAGCTTCAAGGCAAAAGTGAACAGGATGGGCATGTTATTTTTTAAAACTTGCTTATTTGAAAAACAGTACATTCATCTCCTTGTTTTATTTTACATTTCTTTGATTAGTAGTCATGTACATTTCCTCAAGGATTTTTTAGACACACATACACACACACATTTCCTTCTTTTGCTCACTTTTCTATTATATTTCTTCAAATCAAAGTTAATTTGCATGTAAAAAATTAACAGTGAAAATTACTGCAAACAACTTAGAACTTTAAAAAATTTTTATATACGGCCCTGGCTGGCGTAGCTCAGCGGATTGAGCGCGGGCTGCGAACCAAAGTGTCGCAGGTTCGATTCCCAGTCAGGGTACATGCCTGGGTTGCAGGCCATGACCCCCAGGAACCCCAAACTGATGTCACTCTCTCTCTCTCTCTCCCTCCCTCCCTTCCCTCTCTAAAAATAAATAAAATCTTAAAAAAAATTGATATACACTTTATCCCATGTTTAAAAAAAGAAGTCCAAAAAAATCTTTGAATAGCTATATGGGTTTCTTTGTTTCTCTGTTGGTTATTTGAATTTTACCATTAGGAACACTCCCCTTTTTTATTGTTGTTCAAGTACAGTTGCCCTCACCCCACCCACCCCCACCTCCCACCCTTGATCCTACCCTCCCTTTAGCTCTCTCCATGTGTGCTTTATATATGACCATTAGGAACACTCTGATACACATTAAGTTTTTGTTTTCTGTATTTTACAGGATATTTCTGGGGGATATTTTTTGAAACATAAAAATAGAATTACCAGAAAAACTGTTCTGAACAGAGAGCTTACCAGGCAGTACATGAACATAACCACTTTTTAATTACTAATAAATTTGGAGTAAGTACATCTTAAGGACTAAACAGCAGAAGTCAAGTTAAAAATAACTATTTCTTAAATTCTATTACTTTTCAAAAGTTTCTACCTATAGCTGGTTTCTTTTTAAAGTTAAAAATAGGCCAGCATATCCTTAAACTAAAGTTGTATAATTAAAAAGCAAGTATTTTCTTCATTCTTATATATCCAAGGTATAAAGAAGTTAATCCATTTATCCTCAAATGTAATTTTTGGGGTTTGATGCATTAGCACTAATTGCTGATTATACAGATTCAGAAACTCTTAAGCTATTTCAGGTATATCTTTTGAGCCATATTATCTAATTAATAAAATCAAATCATCATTTTTTCAACTACTTTGAAAAGAAACAGATTCAACATTCTAAGAGACCTAGTGGTTTATGAGCTGCACGTTAGTGTGACCATGCTAAATAACTCTTCAGTGCACCTACAGTTTTAAATGCCATCACTGCCCTTGTCGGGAGAATACTCCACAGTGAGGTAACAAGCTAAACCCTGTTCAATGCAAAGCTTCCTAGGGCAACAACTGACAGACATTTGAGAAAGGCCTCTGTGGTAAGAATTCTAGAGAGATCCCCTTAAAATCCCTGTCCCTGAGTGTACAGTCATACACTCACTGATCAAGGAACTGCTGTGAAGAAGATTTGCAAATGGAATTAAATTTATTAATCGAGGGGTTTTAGGGAGAATATCCTGGATTGTTTGGGTAGGTCT